AAGGGGACCAGCCTCTGACACCCAGGAGCCCACCCTGTTGGGGGCCAAGGACACTGCCCAGCATCCTCATCTTACTGAGGGTCTAGGCTCGTGAAGGGTGGCCAGGTTTATCTGTCAGAGGTCCCTGCTTCAGCCAGAGACTAGCATGTGTCAACCCCATAGCAAGGCTGTGACTCTGGCAAGACAGAGAAGCATCACTCCCACATGATATCAGAATGCCACATGGCACACGCTTTCGCTGCCACTGCTCACTCTCCTTACAATATGCTGTACCAAAGGCCTGTGAGACCCTTGAGAAGTGCAAGAGGCAAGAAGCACCTTTGCTTACCTCCAGTGATGGAGGACTCACTACCTCACTGTTGGAAGTTCTTCCCTCAGACAGTTGTCTAGAAAAATTCCCCCAGTCTGCCCCACAAGACCCCCGGGCCTGTGGACCCAGCCCAGGCACCTACCATATTCACTGGAGTCCTGTGTCAGCCCTAGCATTCCACAGCCTGTTCTCACCCCACCCTGACATCTTTCCTTCTCTCCACTGTGGTCCCTACCCTCATACCACACACCCCCATCTACCGACGAGCCTGCGCCAAGCCCCCCTGTTACCCACTCAGCCACGTCCAGCCTCCCTCTGGCCTTGGAGCCCCAGCATACCACATGCAGTAGCCAACTCTATCTCTGGTTTCTTCTTACCAGCCTGACCCCCTCATACGACAGCACCCAGGACCCATGGGCTCTCCATGTGCCTCTATCTCTGAGCATCCAGGGTTCCATCAATGCAATAGAACAAACAGATGTAGCCTCAGACCTAAGAGAATGTCCAAACGCAGGATGTTGGCAGGCCATGGTAGCTCAGGGGCTTCCAGCAATGGGAAGACCTTCCTGCATCTTTGGCTTCTGGTGGCCACTGACATTCATGGCCTGTGACTCTGCCATCAGTCTGCACCCTGTGTCACACCATCTCCTATTCTGCATCTGACCCCTGACCCCTGCCTCTTAGGACTTATGTGATGACCTTCAGTGTCCACAGGATACACGGTCCCATGTCCCCTTCCCATCTCAAGGTCCTTATCTCAGCATACTTGCAAAAACTCTCCCAGATGAGCTGCATTCATAGACTCCAGAAACCTCACATAGATCTTTTTGGGGTACCACTGTTCAGCTTGTCACACAGCGTAACCCCAAACTCACCTCCATTTGGATACCATGAAAATCCCCGTACATGTACATGGCCTCCCAACCCTCCATCCATCTCTACCCAGATCTCATTTTCTAATCCCTAGGACATCCCAAACTCACTCATCTCGCACCTGTGGAAACGTCATCAATAACCTGTGGAAAGTGGAATAATGCCCCAAACACATCTCCATCCTCACTCCCCAGAGCCCGGACATTCTCAGTGTAACGTACAGTGTATTAGTAAATTGCCAGGTGCAGTTTAAGTTTGTTTAAGAGGACCTGGGAGCGAGTAGTCTCTCTCTTGTCTCTTCCAAAGCCCCCTGTTCTGGGTCAGCCTGGTCTCTGGATTGGGAATGAGTGAGGAAAAAACAGCAAACAGCTAGAAGGTGAAATATTTCAAGGAGGCTACCATCGTTTATTACAGTGTACAGAAACACCTGCAGTGGGAAAGAGCAGGTAACTGCCTCGGTTCCTACAGTCAACTTCCACTGGCTGTTGTAAGCTCTGATTTAATGATTTTTATCTTCATTCACTCTCTCAATCAAATCAGTAGAGTCCTGATTTGACCATTCTTTGCTGCCTATTGGCTGCTTCTATCTGCCGCCTGCTGTTTCTTGCCTTTTGTCGACCACGTGTTTAATGAAGTCATTCACTCATGGCTATAACAGCTCATTCTCCAGACAGGGACAGAACATGTGGTTATTGGATGATAGAAAACAAAGGTTACAGACAGGACTGGCCTTGTTGGAGACTTGGGATCTTTAAGATCAAGAGACTATCGTGAATGTTGGGGGAGAGGCTTCAGTGGGTCCTTACCCATGAGAAGGATGAAGTGGTTCAGATGACCTCTTCTATTCCTGGCTTCCAAGCTGGGGAGAAAGACACAAGCAGGTCTGCAGAGATCTCTACAAGCTGGGAAAGGACATAGAGGGACCTTCCCCAGGGCCTTGAAGGTACTGGTCCTGCTGCATCTTGCTCTCAGCCCACAGCTCAACTCTGAAGTAAGGAAAAGGGGCTAATCCATCAGCGGCATTTGTTCTAGCTGCAATGGGAACACCGTGGCATGCCTGCTCACATACCTAGCCAATAAATATCTGACCCAGAAGTCCTGCGAGCACCATCACCCTGTCTCATCCTCAGTCAGCCCCTTGGGCCATCTGCCTTCAGCAGGAGCCCTCCTGCTTCCTCATGGTGCCCCCACCACATTTCCCTACAGGAACAAGCCAGCCCATGAGTCAACTCTGCCCTGACCTCTTCCTACCCAAGCTCTTCCCTGTATCCAGTGAGGGATCCATCAAACCTAATCAGTCATTATCCCTTCTCACCCACCTCCCTGAGGAGGGCCACTCCCAACCCTTTGCCTCTCTGTCCTGCTTCCTGATGCTCACACCTATCCACAGACCCTTTGAGCACAAACCCCACCTCAAGAGTCTTTCAGAAGCCCTGAGGGTGATGACTAACGTAACAAACAACATTGCCCCTACAAACAGAAAGTCCTGGGACACCAGTGGCCCTGTGGTCCAGAGTCACAACCCCTCACCCCAGCAGTCTAGGCCACAATAGTGGGACAGAGAGCACCTCTGAACCAAATCCCGAACCTATGGATCTATAGAAGCCTGACTTCACTGACAGCATCCCCAGGCTGTGTCTTAGCACCAGCAATGGCTTCCAGGCTCCAGCTCTACCCACTAGACTGAGGCAGTGGGAAATTTCCTACCTGGGAGACCCTTCTGCTGCTGTAGCAGATAGGGTCCTGCGCCCCACCCCCAACCCTGCCCCAGACCTATGGGCTAACTCCTGTCACCCTGAGTCCCACACCGCCATCACCACTACCTGCTGCCCATGCCAGGAACCAGCGTGCGGCTATCCAAGGCCTGTGCTCTTTCCGCCTGCCCTGCCTTCCTGGAAGGGACCTTTGCCTTCCATCTGCACAAGGAAGCCTTGGCAGCTAGGCCAGCATGGCACAGCAGTGCGCAGGACCGGAACACCGCCAAGGGCTGATAAAACAAAGGTCACGGTGGTAGTCACAGGCCTTACTGTGTGGCCAGAGGAGCTGAAACTATAAAGCCCCCACGACCTTGGTCTCATGGGTCACCTCCTGCTGGAGACTTTCAACGCCCTCCCAGGAAGACAGCACCGGCCCCTTCTCAGTGTTCACTGCCTGTGAACACAGGGAGACAGTCCGGTGCAGGAGTCTGGTCATTCCCACCTTCAGAAGAGAGGCCATGGTTGACAGGCAACCACACAAGGCGGAGACACCTCAGATAGTCCTCAACCCAGCAGAGGCCTGCACACTCAAAGACTCTGGTCCCAGGGCCTCCCTCTCATTCCATGTAAGAGCCATTCATGAGCTGACAGGGGCTTCAGCAGGGGCCAGCACACCGGAGCCAGCCCATCATCTCCTGGCTATGTGGCTTTGGGCAGATGGTTTTATCCCTTACAGCCACGTCTCTCATGCACAAAGGAGGGGCAAGCTCAACATCTGTAAGCCAGGGCAGATGCAGCAGAGAGCCCTTTATGCCAGCCCAGGATAGACCCTAGGAAAAGCAGTCCCTCACCCCAGATGCCCCTCTCTGGCCTAATGCTAACCCTTCATCTCAGGATACTCCTGGGGTCCAGCCAACATGCCTACCATCTATAACTTGGGCCCTGTACACTCCCAGGGCAGGACACCTTATGAAGCAGGAGGCCTGGGACAGGCTAGGACCCATCTCCATCTCAAAGCTCTACTGTAAAGCCTAAGCAGGGGCTGGATTCTACAGTCACCCCACATCTCCACAGCCCCCATGTCACCCTCACACATCCACACTACCCTTCACTCCACAATACAGGTTTTCCAAGAGTCCTGGAATTGACCTGATGGGAACAAATGGGGCCAAGATGGGCAGGACAAGTGGTGCTGACCCCTGGCCTTGTCTACAGGCCTGGCCTGCTGTCCACTGGGGCCCTGGGAAACGGCACCTCCCAGATCTGGAGCCAGTGGCCGCTCTGCGGGGTTGTCGCAATTTCTGTCAAAGGGGGAAGCAGTCACAGCTCAGCCCTTGCTATCTGGACGGCTCCGCGGTTCAGCATGAGGGCCCAGATAGGCAACACAGACCAGCAGTAACTGTACCCTGCATACAGTTAAGCAGCCCCATCAGAAGGAATTCTGTGGAGACCAATGTGACCTACAGGTACTGTCCAGGGCCTCCCTCTTGAGGAGACAGGGAGTACTACTGACTGGAACCCACCAGGTCCTTACTGGACTGCGTCCCACAGTCGTCCTGCAGAGCGTGGTCATTTCTGGCCCTCGTGGACCCAGGAGGCAGCCAGGTAAGTAACCAGCTCTGGGGACCAGGTCTGTGTGACTTTCCCACTTGGGATCAAGATTTCCAGCAACAGGTGTAGGCAAGGAGCCAACTGTGGTGGGCAACGGGATGAAGGCGGTCTGGGCAGAGACCGCACAAGTCACCATGGACACTCCAGGGCGGCCACCATTCCCTTCCACAAGGTCCGAGGGGCTTCCTAAAGTGGAGACCATTGCAGACAAAGCGCAGCAGCTGGGAATCCCAGAACGCCATGTGTCCTTGTATGCATAGGGAGCAGAGGGAAGGCTCAGTCACCAGGTACCTCACACTCAGGTACCTGGTGTTCCAAGGCTCTGGGCGGCTACACCTGGCCCTAGGGCCGCAATAGCCCCAAGCCCATCCCCTGCCCAAGGCCAGGCCATCTTTGGGAGGAGCAGGGAGGTGACCTGCTTAAACCTAAATGCTGGAGCACTGTCCTCTAGCCACATAGGATAGTAAGTGCTGCATCAGACAGCGCACAGAACCAGGGCCTGCTCCCGGGGCATCAGGGGGCCGAGTCAGCATGCCGGTCAGGCCTCCCTGCACGGGCATGTCTCTTTAGAACAATGACCTCTTCTGTTGGGCACTGCTGCAGAGCCTCTCTCTCACTTGCCTGGTACCCAGGCAGCTGGCACATGGCTCGCAGCCCCCAGGGCTCACCTCAGTTTAAGCCCTGCTTAGGGGAGAGTCCCACACTGTCTACCAGAGGCTCTCAGGGCCTAGACCAACCCTGCTTCACTCTGAGGCCCCCCCTAACCTCGTCAGCACACCACCATCACCTGTGCTTCGGTAACCTCATGAGCCAAATGCTACTGAGCTGTGCAGACCCCACAGCTCACGTGAACAAGGCCTCGGGGGACATGAGTCCAGTGCCTGCTCCTACTCCTTGGTTCCGGGCCAAGGGTGCGTGAGCAAAGCCAGCAGAGACCAGCCTAGCTGGGAGCCTTCCTTAGGACTCTCTCTCACTTAAGTCAGGAATGTTTGGTATCTGGAGAGCTTCCAGACTATTCCTGGCTGGAGCACCAGATTAGTAACACCAGCCCTTCCAGGGACCCCATCGCCTGCCTGGCCTGCACTCTGCCTCCCGCCCTGCAAAAGGGAGGTGAAGGGGCAGGGGTGTCCACGGCTTCCTGTTTCCTTTCTAGCTGGGAAGAGGAACAGCAGACAGCAACTTCTGCCTTTGTCCGTGCCCCTTCATAGACCTGTGGGCAAGCTGCTGAGTTGCCTGGGATGGCATTCAACTCTATTGGGAGCCACTAGGCCCTGAGTATAACAACCCTGCTAGAGATCCACTGACTAGAGGCCAGCAGGCCGCCAACCCTCAAGGCTGCTGAGGCCACTGCCCCCATGTCTCTGTAATGGAAACTTCTCAGCTGCTCTGTGAGCAACAGCTCCAGTTCCTGCCTCATGTGGGCTCTGATCGGCAGCAGACCGCAGGAGAAGGCAGGTGAGCCACCACACACAAGACAAATGCAGTGCCACAGGAACCCAGGTGGGGCAGGCCTTGGTGTGCGTGAGTGTGAGAGTGTGTGTGGTGCGGGGTGTGTGTGTGTGTGTGTGTGTGTGTGTGTGTGTGTGTGTGTGTGTGATGGGGTGTGTGTGGGGTGTGTGCGTGTGTGTGTATTAGTGCACATGGCCCCTGTGTCTGTGTGCATGTAAGGAAAGCCCCCGAGAGGCTCGGGCTTCCCAGCAGGCCAGGCCACCTCCAGTCCCTCTGGGGAATCTCCAGAGAGGTGATCTTGCAGCAAGACAGCAGGAAATCAAGCTCTGCTCAGAGGTGGGGACACCCTGTCCCTTCAGGTCTCGAGCATAGCGAAAGCGTGAGGGTGGGCAGAGGGCAGCCATGGCTGCCAAGCACAGTGCCAGCCACTGGTCAGATCTGAGGAAGGACCTTCCTGTGGGGGAATGGCAGGGCTGGTAGGGCACTGAAATTACCCATGTGCCAGCTCTTGCACTCGGCACCCTGCCCACCTCCAGAGACTCTCCAAACCACATCACAGACCGAGGAGGTGTGGATGACAGGCGCAAAGCACAGATAGCCAGGCTGGTGAGAGGGATGGGGTGTGGGGCCACTGCTGACTCCCCAAATCTCCAGGATAAGGAGAGGGAGGAGGGGCCTTCAGATAGACCCTGGAAGACTGTCTAGATTTGGGGCTAGTAAAGAACCAGGAGCTCCAGAGCCCTGGTTCAGGCCACCAGGGCTGACTTTGGGACACAGCCCATCTCTCTGTGTCTGCTCCAGCTGTCTGCAAACACCATGTTCACCTGCCTGGACTCGAGGGTGCGGTGTCCAAGCTTGGCTCTGAGCCTGTCTGGTGGCATTCTTTACCTGGGTCAGAATTCCCCACTCTTAGGGGCACCATGCTCCCATGCTTGTCCCTGGACTCTAAGGGGGACAGCTGCTGGGCTGTTTCCCCGAGTGAAGGACAGAACCCCAGATACCAGCCCTCCCCAACCAGCATGGTTCAGCCATGGCACTCCACGGGCCCCAGGCTCCTGGTACTATTTTCCACCCTTTATCACCCATCTGTCACGAGCCAGCCTCTGAGCAAATGCACTCAAGTTACGAGCTCCGGCCTGTTCCTGCCAGGGCCAAGGCCTCTGCTCTGGGGCCAGCGGGAGGGGACACCAGCAGGCTTGCCTGTGTCCACTACGTCCACTCCGTGAGCCAGAGACGCCCCCTCTGGACTCTTCATGGGAGTGTGAAAGCCTGAGAGCTCTCTACTTGATTGAGGCCACAGAGATAAGGATCCAAGCCAAATACACACACACACACACACACACACACACACACACACACACACACACCACTCACACATTCACACACCATACTCATACATATACCAAACACTCACACTCACACACACACATTCACACACACACTCACACACACCACACACATTCACACATACCACACACACATACATACATACCACACATACACTCACATGTACATCACACACACACTCACACAATACCAAACACACACTCTCACACACACTCAGAAACACACCACACACACAAACCCTATACACATTCACATACACACACCCCCACACTCATACAGCACACACAACACATACTCATACATACACACACCACATACTAACACATTCACACAACACACATACCACATACTCATACACACACATACACCACACACATACCACATATTCACACACACACACGCCACATACTAACACACTCACACATACACACATGCACACATATGTGGTTCAGGTACATTCATGCATGTGCAAACATGCCTGTGTGTATACAGATCACATGCATATGCATATTCTCACATGCTAGCACACAATAGCCACACAGTTACATTTTTACGTGTACACACAGATTCTCCACAGGTCAATATTCACATGCTCACACAAACAAGTGTCTACTCATGTCATACGACCCCATGAACGCACATGCACACCCACAAACATACATGCTGTTATGTGTATACAAACACACACGTGCGTCTGGAGAGATGGCTCAGTAGTTAAGAGCATTTGTTGCTCTTGCAGAGGGCAGGGATTCAGTTCCCAGCACCCACGTGGTAGTTCACCACCATCCATACATCTGACACCCTCTTCTGATTTCAGTGGGCAACCTGCACATACATGGTACACATACATACACACAGGCAAAACACTCACACACAAACAGTAAGTGAAGTAAACCTTTAAAAACACTGACACATATTGTCTCACAATCCCCTAGCAGAACCTGGCCACAGAGGACCAAAAAGTGAGTGCTGGCAGAAAGGTACAGTAGTGGCCCCTTCCCTGAAAGTGAGCCTGGAGCCTAAGGCCCTCCTCTCCCCTCCCCTCCCTCTTTTCTCTGCTCCCTGTGGCCAGCCCCTTCTCTACCCTATTGCAATAAAATCTGATGCTATGATAGGAGAATGTGCTCCCTTGTGAAGTAATTGAGCCATGCAAACACATCCAGGCAGACATTAACAGGGCTTCAGCCACCTGCCGTACTTACACCCGCTGAGCATAAAGACTCAGCTGCTCCATTATCTCCTATGGAAGACTGTATGGAGGCCTCTGGGTCAACCTTCAAAGCAGCCATTCCTGGGGAGACCTTGAGGGGGTCCTCCTTGGAGTCAGGGCAAGCTCTTATCTCAAGTTCTCAAGGGCAAGGCCCCTGGAGTCTACAAAAACCAGAGCCACGTCTCATGAAAACAGGCATTTGCCCTCATCTCAAGGCATTCTCCAGGGCAGAGATCGGGAGAATCTAGGTGGGATGGAGAAAGAAAGTTGCCTCACACTGCTCTTTCCAGCTGGGGAAAGGAAGGAGAACCACCCTGCCAGTAGCCCAGGGACACTTCCTTTCTCTCTGACCTCAGTGTCTCTATCTACCGAGAAGGGGGATGGCGGTCTCTTAGCTCCCCCAACCATCCCCCACCCCAAGGCTCCAATCAGGGTCTGCACCCAAACAGGACCGGAGGACTCAGAAGGCATGGCTGAAGCTATGGAAGATAACCACACAGTGGGCTGTTGTAGGTAGTGGGGGGGGGGGCGGGTGACAAGGGCCCGGCTCCACACTCCACAGGCAGAAGGGACACCTCTACACCCAAATGTGAGATGTGACAGGAGAAAGATGGAATCAGAGAAAAAGCAGCAGACAGGGAGACTGGCAGGGAGACGGGCTCTGAGAATTACCCACATATGCAGAGACAGTCAGAGACAAAGAGGAGCAGAGATATGGAGACAAAGAGAAGGACAGAGACAAACGGGCTGGGCCGGATTGTACCCCATCCCTCCCAACACAAGGGCCAACTGAGGAGGCAGCACACCTTCCAGAAAAGCCTTTCCTTGCTGGGGGATCCCTGACAATGAGAAGCCCCTACTGTCATCTGCTCCCAGCGTCTGTGATGGGGGCTTAGCGGATTGACAGAAGCCAGAAGCGTTTACTGTATGTAGCCTTATCTGTGATCTCAGAGCACTACAAACTCCTGCAATAAACTGCCATCTTCCTGAGCAGCCCGTGACAGTGGGTGGGTGGGCAGCTGTAAATCTCAGGGCATCAGCGCCCAAAGGAATATTACACAGCCATCAAAGGTGATAATTATGAAGACGATGCCCTCAGAGGAAATTGCTGACAGTAAGGCTTTGCAGCTGGCGGGGCACAGGATTTATCTGCACCGTGATCCCTGCAAAGGAAGCTGGTGTTTGCGGGTCTGTGAGAACGGTGGGGGCTGAGGAAGCCAGTCTGGTTTCCAAGGAGGAATTTTCTCATCCCTTTATCTCTATCTCTATAAGCATGGCTTGTGCAATAAATAACGTCTGTCTTATCATAGGGCCATGTTCCAGTAAATGAGGTCTGCAGCTCAAGTCTTGTGCCCTGATTCCCACCCGCGGACACGCCAGCCAACCAGAGAGAATGAGGGGGCCACGTGGGGCTCACAACCTCCCCGGACTGAGAGGGTAAAGCCACGATGCTGCCTGAAACACTAGCTCTAGAGATACGGGCTGCTGCTGTGAGTTGGGAGAGAGGCGGGGGCCAGAAGGGCAGACAGGGTCCCTGTCCTTGCTCTCAGGAGATCCTCTGTCCCTGGAACTCTGGAAGCCATATGACCAGGAGCTTGGTGGGAGTCAGGGAAATGGTTCCATTGTGAAGGGTGTGGTGTAGCACAGCCAAGGGCACAAAGAGGATCACACAGGTCTGGGGTGAGGCTCTGCTCTGCGCCTGTCCAGGGGTCACAGCATGGGATCAGCATGCATGGACAGGGAGGTATGACAATCAGAGGGAAGAAGTTGGAGGGACAGGGAAGGATGGTGGGTGGAGATGATGGGGAGGGGGAGAGAGCCGTGGCTGGCTACAGAGCTGGTTAGTGAAGGATGTCAGAGCGACAGAAGGGGTGGAGACACAGCTGGGAGAGCCGTTAACAGCTCCGTCCAGGAGTAAACACGAGAGGGAAGAGGCTCAAGGAGCAAGAGGGGGTTCCAAGTGGGAGGGGCCCAGACCTGGGACGCTTGCTGCCAGGCCAAGGAAGAGGCAGAGATATGCCAGGCTAACCTTAGCGCAGGCAGCTGTGGGTGGAGCAGGGCAGCCCCCCAGGGCTTCTCATCAAGCTGTGCAGAGTCCAGTATCCTGCCACGGACAACTTAGAAATAGCCCTGGCTTCCCTGCGCTCTGTCCCACAAACAGCCTGCTGTCCCGTGTCATGGATGAAGCCACTGAGGTTCACAGGGTGACTGGAGCAGGCCAGGAAGGTAGCCTCTGGGTGTGCAGGATGTGAGTGCTGCCTTCCTCCACCGGCCAGACACCCTGAAGTGCATCCTAAGTGAAGGGAGGGGAGATTCATAGAGGATAGACCTTAGCCTGCCAGCTGGCCCACAGCCACCCATCAACTCTGTGGGACGCCCCACTCTATGGAGTGTACAGATTTAGCCCTCTAAACCAAGGACCCTCCCCCACGTCTCAGGTTCCCCCCAACAATCCCTACAGGGGTCTGAACAATTGCCTGGTACACTTCCTCTCAGAGAAGAGGGCCCAGCAACCTCTGAGGCTGCAAAGCCAGGTCTGAGTTTTCTGGCAACGCCTATCCAGGGAAATGTGTCAGAAGCCCAGGGTGTCTCAAGCCAAGCACATGGCTCAGGGAAGTTGTCAGGCTCTGGACCCAGCCCTTGCCAGTCATGCTCCCTGGCCACTGGGTTCTCGGTGCCTGAGTCTCGCGGCCTCTGACAGTGTTCCCAGGGATCATGTGATTTTGTACAGGCCATCCTCGGTTGGTGGGGTTATCCTTGGCACCCTTGTCTACTGCTGCCATTCCTCCAGGTGTGAAGAATTTCCCTCAGAACCCCTGGGATTGGCAGGGGGCACAGCCTGGGAAGAAGCATGGGCCTTCCAGGCACTGCGCTTACCCACTCGTGACTCTTGAGGCTTCATTCCATGGAGCAGCACTGGAGGAGCTGGGCAAGGTGGATAGCTGGTCCTGAGGTCTCCTTGTCCTTCTCTGGTCCTCCACAGTAGGTCCTCTCCATTAAGCACCGAAGAATCAGCACACACCACAGCCCAGGGTGCCAGGCTTGAACAGAAAGGGCTCACAACCATTTGTTCTCCATCCCCACCCTAGGGTGGTGACAGGAAGTGCCCTCCCTCTATCCTGAGACCCAGACGGCAGGAATGTGGGTGCCATGGGGCTGAGCCACAGAGAACTTCAAGGCACGTGCGGTTCCGAGAGCCCCTGGAGGTGGCTGTCCACTGTAAGAGGGGCCGGGGGCTTTGGTGCGAGGGTCTGGGTGGCGTGGGGTGGGGTGGGCAGGTGCCCTTGCAACTCTGCCATGGTCTGGGACCATCCAGAAAAGCCGGTCCTTATTCTGCCTTCCCAGACAGAGCCCCAGTAAACCTGTGATATGGGGTCATGAGGCTCAGCCATGGTCAGGGGGACAGCAGCCAACAGGGGAGAATGCATTTGTGACCATCACCTCCTCTCTCTAGGTTGGGTTCTAGATATTTCATCTCACAGGCCAGGCCAGTGAGGCTTGTCTCGGTACCTTTGTATGGTGGGCTGGGAGAGCTTGAGGACATTTTCCTAACTAAAGCATCGTGGTCTCCTTCCCAGACATTGCCCGCAAGGACACCTCAGCCGCCGCCGTCAAGGGTGAGTTCTGAGAAGGAGGCCCCATCTGCCAGCAGGTCCTGGGCCTCCGCCACAGGGCAGAACCAGACACAGCCTCAACCACACCCCTGTCCCCACATCCCGAGTCACTCTAGATCCTGACTCTGTCTCCCCTGATCGCCCTAGAAGTGACCCCATCCCCACAGGGCCACTCCCCAGATCCCTGACATGTCAGTGAGCAGCAGCATCCCTAAATGGGTGCAGTCTTCCTTAGGCAGGCAAGGACAAGAGCCCATGCCCCACGGATTCCATGAGACTCACCCCAGGACCCGACCTGACCATCATCCTGATGGCCAAGTGCAGGTCAACAGCCGGGCGACATAAGTCTCCCTCCATACCAGCCCCACCAGCAGAGAGAGAGAGCCTTGCAGGGCCTCGCTGGGGAGCTGCCTGGACTGACCTACAGCCCTCCTACAGTGCCCAGCCGACCAGCTTCCCGCGGTGGCTCTCTACTCCAGCCAGCGTCCTGCAGTGGCTCCCTATGCCTGTGGCTGACTCTGTGTGTTCTGCTTGGAGTGGTGTTAGGCCTGTACTGTGGCCAGGCCCGTCATGTCACAGGAGCCCTGGAGGACCTCTGGGGCTGGCTCCTCCTCCTCGTCTTGCGCCTGTGGCATGTAGTCCTTGCCTGTTGGCACTGCCTCCTGCGGCTCTGACACGCGGCTGAATGGCAATTACACCTCTGACCATCGCCAGAGGGTGATGTTGGAGGGGGTCGGGTAGGGCGGTTTGGGGGCCATGGTGGTGTAGCCCAGACACTAAGACTAGCCTCAAGACAGAGCTCCGCTAGCCAATGCTTGACAAACCCAGGAGCTCCAAAGGGCTGCTGTAGTGGATTAAGTGGTAAAGGGGGTGCCTCTGGCTTGATGCTACAAGTACCCCCTACACCAGTCAGCACAGGCTGGGACCTTGGGGCTTTAAGGTTGTACCAGAGAAAGAACTCAGCCATCGTGGTTGGGGACTCCTGTGCTCCGGCCAGTCCTTTGTCTTGGGATCCCTGGCCTGCTTGCTGTCATGCCTGCTTGCTGTCATGCCTGGATATTGTCACGCATGCCATACAACCCTTTGAGGATAAGTGTCACCTGCATCTGAGGGGCAGTTTGGAAAGACGAGCCCCAAACTCCTGCTGCTTTGAAGGCTAGCCTCGGCTTCTGTCATACCATCAGGAGACGATCTCAGGGGCCTTCCTCTGCAGTTCATGGGAGCCCTGTGGGTATCGGAGCCTAGGTAAGGCCACCAGGCCTGCCTTGTCTCCTGAACCCATGGAGACATAGTTCTGTCGTGCATATTGCAAGGTCAAGGGAAGCAAGCACATCGTACTGAACTTCAGGACCCCCTAGACCTGCCTGGAGGGGGAGCCCTGAACACAGAGAGGAGGCTCAGTCAGACACCAGGAGGATCCACCAGGGGGACCCTGCACCACCCTGGAATAAACTTCTGACCAGGGTTTGGGAGCCAGGGGGAGGCTTGTGGTTGTCCTCTTAAGGTGTCTCCTACTTATGTGGGCAGAAACAGATTCCATATTAAAACACTCACACCCTCTTCACCTCAGGATTATTGCAGAAACGAGGGATGCAACACAGTTGTTCTGGAATCCCTTCAGGGTCAAGCATGCTCATCTAGACACCAGAGCATACCCTCCACCCACCCCTACAACCCACAGGTCCTTTGCAGCTGTCATTCATGAGAATTTGGGGGACCCACCATGCCTCCAGGACCTCATCCTCCCCAGAAAGATGTGCTCAGATTTCTAGCTCACTGGGATGCCATCTGCCCCTCTCTGGCCTTCAGGTGCTCCACACAGTGGTCTCCAGCTGTAAAGTTTGAGGGCATAGTCAGGGAGGGGCCAGTGGAGAGAAACCCTGCTTCCAGGAGTGGTCTAGAGAGGACCAGCCTGGGAAGCCACTCACCAGGATCAGCCATCACCATGGCTACTGTTGCCTGCACCAGCCCAGCTGCCCCAGGACCCATTCATCTCATCCCGCTCTGGTAAAAGGCAGGCTCATTGCTGGCCTGTTATTCCAGCTATGGAAACAGACACTAAGAGATGAGATGGGAGACCTTGAGGTCACCCTTCCGTCCCTGCTTCTGAGAGTGAATACCCTCTAGGAAGGGGATTGGTCACCCCATGTTTTACAACAGAGAACCAGGGCTTCCCACCACAGAAAAAGTGTGCCCAGCTCTGTAGGGGCCACAGAACCCTGCCCTAGCTAGATTGGGTTTTCGGTTTGCTTTGTTTCCTTTCACAGTGCAAACCCAGCACCACTAGGCAAGCCGTCTGCCACCGTGTTACATCCCCAGTCCTATTTTGTTCCAGAATAAATGTTCAAAGACATACACAGAGATACATGTGCCTAAGAGATGTCACCAAACCCCAAACTCATGTCTGAGGGATGGTGTAGGAATCGGGGGGAGGGGCCACAAGAGTCAAACTCCTTAAATGCCCAGGCAAGAAGGACCGCCCCATGAGCACCTGGAAGCGAACAGGACAAGACCGTTTAAATCATAAACAAACAGCTAAAGCCTAAGAGTCAGGGGGTGGGAGGTGGGACCTGCACTGGACTGGCTGGTTGGCAAAGCCACAAACAGCTCATCCACACAGCATCTCAGATGTTTCATCTTTATTTTGATATTTTGACTTGAGAATCAGACACGTGGAGGCTTAGACTCACCACTATCAGCTTTACCAGGAAGATAGAAACAAGGGTTGCCCTGAAACAAGCTGGAGAGGAGCAGGGGCATCCTGGGGACCACGCTGCATCCTCTGCCTGCCTCTTTGCCATATATCCAGAGAGGCCTCTCCTGGACAGACACCCCTGCCCATGGCTACAGCCAACAGGTCCTGCCAGAGATCCTAGGCCAGAGGCCCTTCCCCAGGAGTCCCTGGGACATTGACATCTGGGAAAGTCTAGGCATCTTTAGGTGAATGAAGACCTCTCTAGACTTGACCAGGTCCCAATCCCCAAGAGACAGCTGCCAAGGTCAGGCCCACACCTGAGGCAGATCCGAGGTACCAGGGGCCCCAGCCTGCCTCCTGTTCCTCCGGGTCCTAAGAGACTACAGCCTTAGTAGGGATGTGGGGCAGAAGATGAGGAAGGAGCCAATCCTAGGGAGACAAAAGAGGGGACTCAGGGCTAGACAGAGTTCCGTGTCCCACAGGGCTGGTGTGAGGGTCTGGAGGAGAGACCAGGTCAGGTTGGAGACCTCAGCAAGGCCACAAGCCAAAGCCCCCAGAGAAGGCTGGAGTGTCAGTCTGCCTGGCCCTGACCTCCCCAGATAGGCACCCCCTTACACAGCATCCTGACCATCCTTGCTAGCTGGCTTCAGTTCTTAGGGCCCAAGTGATCCCCCTCAAGCCCTCACAGGGAGCCTAGGCCACACCTTTATGGACCCAGCACCTTCCACCTGGGAACACACCAGCCACCGATGGTGGACAGTGAGCTGACCCAGGTCAGGATCGCCTTGCCTGGGAATGGAGGAACAGTGTTGGAGCACAACTTCAGACTAGGGCCAGGAACACTGAGTGCACTCACTGAGATCCAGATGGGCTGGGCCTCTCCCGCCATGGGGGCCCCACCCCTGGAACACAGAGAACCATGCCACCTAGAAAGCCTCAAAGGGTGGAGGGTGGGACTCTCCTGCCACAGCCAAGCAGCCCCAGATACCCTCACAGAGCAGAAGACAGAGCCCAGCCCAGGGTCCCACGTTCCTACCAGGATCCTCCACCTGCTGCTTTGGGGGAGGGGTGACATTACCTTCTAGGGGCCTTAGCTGAAGATGCTATGGGATGGAAAGAGAGCCCCTCCAGAAGGGGCAGGGACTCGGGTGTGCCGGAGTCTGTGGCGGTGCCGAGGCCGCCAACCCAGCGCCATCACCTCTGCTCTGCAGTCACACTCCCATCTACACATGGATGGGCCAATGGTCACACAGAGGCAGAGCATGGATCACACTAACCAGGCCGGGACAGGAAGCCAGAAGGCACCCCATCCCCAAGTCTCTGGTCTCTGTGCCACCACTGTCGGGCTCTCCACAGGAACACGAGCGCTCTGCTCATGGAGGGCAGAGCCAAGAGACACATGCGGACTGCGTTGGCCAGCCTGGGTGGGGCCCCAGCCACCCCTCAGGGCAGGCCTCGGGAAAGGGGGCCACCCTCACACAGCCTAGATGACAGCACTCTTCTCCCCCTGGAAGGAGGTGCGGGAGGCTGGCCTGGCCAGCAGCAGCTCCTTCTCGTGAACCAGGCTGTCCAACAGGTCTTCCTGGCGGTAGTTGTGGTAAACCTTCAGGAACGCCAGGGTGGTGATCGCCAGCCAGGCCAGCCACGAGGCCCACAGGCCAAACTGCAGAGAAGATAGAGCAGCATCAGTGGTGGTGGTGGTGGTGGTTAGTTCATTGTCCAGTGTGCTCCGTACTCACCTCCTAGCTCTAGCTCTGCAGGGAAGGGAAGGGCACACTAAGGCCAGAGGGGGTCATGCACCTGAGAGCCCATGCACACCCTCCTTTGGCTTACTCTCTGCAGTGGCTGTTAGGTCCATTGCCCACAAGAACCCAGGTTTGCGCAGAGGCTGGTGGTACTCAGTCATTTTCACCTGCACTGGTGAGGTTCCCTGAGGAGAAGCAGGACCCGGGCAATGCTCTCTTCCCACCCCGACCCACTGGGCTCTATGGAGTGCCTATAGATCAGGGAGCCCCTCCAGCCAGGGGAATAAATTGACCTTTATCTGCTGTTTCCAAACAGCTGAAGGAGAAACAATGAAATCAGCTCCAGGTCCGCACTGCATCAAACTGATTCTCATCTGAGCGTGTTTGTCCTCACACTGTGCATGCCTCTGTCTAATTGGTCCAAATTAGTTCTAAAACATCTTAAGCTAAAGTTGCGTGAAGGTCTCTCTGACCGTTTCAGCTCATCTCAGCAAAGAACTTTAGGACTTCCACGGGCTTTTATCAGTGGCAAGAATCATCTCAGTCCAGCCTTTGACAAAGCAGAGCCTCCGGAAGCCAGACTGGGGCATGGAAGGAAGCCATGAAGGGGGAAAGCCCCATGCAGCGTGGGAAAGGACAGGTGTCCATGCTCAGCCCCACCTAGGTGCCCCTAGCCTGCACCACCTGTCTGGAGCACAAATGCAGAAATCAGGGGACAGGGAAATCCTAAAGCTTTCCCCAGGGCCCTCAACGACCAATGTGTCCCAATAGTCTAAAAGTCACATGAAAGGGAGGACAGGGTGGGATCAAGATCTTCCTAGGGCAGGTCTCTCATTTCACCCTCAGACACAGCACCAGGCGGCTCAGGGGCCCTCCAGCATTCTCCGAACACTTGGAGCCAACCAGAATCCAAACCCTGTCCTGCTGGCAACCCCAGACCCTATGCCCCATTCCCTGCACCTCCTGCTCTCCCATGCCCTCCTCTTTCCTCCCACCCACTCAGCACTTCCCACCCTCTGGCTCCTGAGTTCACTCCGCGTGTCTACCCATGCCTTCTCTTGCCTGCCCCCTACAACCCCTGCTCAGAGATTCAGCTCCCCCAGCCCACCCTGAAGTGGGGGGTGGGAATCTCCTGCTGCTCCCCCAGCCTGCACCTCCCCTAATGGCCCCACCATAGCTGAATCTGGAATTTCCTTGCCTGGGATCAGGAGTCGGTTCTCTCTGTTGTGGTCCCCACCCCCATCCCCAACATGGCCACTTCTCTTCCTGCCTAGAACACCACCTACCTGGGCGATAGCAAACTGATGGTAGAAGGCAGAGTTGTCCACGTTCAGCTCCAAGTCCACGTCCTGGAACTTCTCGCAGCTAAAATAGCATGATGCCAAGTGGCTGGTGACTTGTGAGCCCCTGAGCCAAAAGGCAGCAAGCAGCTAGCTGGGGAGCAGAGAATACTTCCCCCAAACAGTGAGGGGTGTACCATGTCAACTTGACACAAGCTAGTCATCTGAGAGGAGGGAACCTCAATTGAGAAAATGTTTCCGTAAGATCAGGCTGCAGGCGGGCCTATAAGACATTTTCTTAATTAGTGATTGATGGAGGAGGGCCCAGCCCATTGTGGGTGGTGCCATCCCTGGGCTGGTGGTCCTCGGTTCTATAATAAAGCAAGCCAGTAAGCAGCATCCCTCCATGGTCTCTGCAACAGCTCCTGCCTCTAGGTCCCTGCTTTGTTTGAGTTCCTGTCCTGACTTCCTTGGATGATGAACTGTGATGTGGAAATGTAAACTGAATAAACCCTTTCCTCCCCAAGTTGCTTTGGCCATGGTGTTTCACCACAGCAATAGTGACCCTAAGACAGAGGGAACAGTCCCCAAAGGGGACTAGAAACAGATGTCTCTAGAAACTCCACTGAGAGTCAGCTTTGATCCCTCATTGGGTGGCACAATGGCTTCCAGGAAGGGGAGCTGCAAATCTTTCCAACTGGCCCTGAAGACAAGAGCCAGCCAGCCTCAGCGATCTTGTCACTGTCTGTCTGGCACTCGGGGGTCACAGGCTGCTCTGCCTAGTCCCTCAGTTCCCCAGTCTAAGATGGAAGCGATGTCCCGGAGCCACACTGCACAGTGGCCCTGCACAAGAGTCATGGGGGCACCATGAGGGCAGCCTCTTCTCACCAACCACTGCCACTGCCACACAGCGGCAACAGGAGCTGAAGCAGGCCATGTCAACCACAAAGGCCTGCATGATGCCTCCTGGCCCACAAGGCCCTTCCATGTGTGAGGCTGCAGGCTACCAGGCCAGAGAAAGAGGTGCTTGATGCTGAGCGGGCGGGTCTTAGGGACAGAGCGACAGGTGGGGGTCACAGGTGGGCAAAGCCTCAGGCTCGAATGGAATTCAGGGAGAAAAGCATCTTGGGATCCTGGTAAGAGGTGGGTCTCCTAGGGAGGTGGCTGAGAAAGCAGGGCCCAGGCTTACCTGCGGGGAATGGTGCCCTTCTCCGTGATGGTGTCACACCACATGGTGAAGCCCACACTCACGATGGTGCTGGCAATGAAGACCAGGAAGACCACAAAGGCACTGACCAGGAGGTTCAGGAAGGCGTAGAAGAAGGAGCTGCAGTGAGGCCAAGAGAGGGGTGCTAAGCGAGCCACTCAGGGTCCCACCCCCAGAAGCTCCCCTTGACACAGGACGGGGACACATTCCCAGGTCTCCTAGTGAGCACCTGGGGTCCTGATGGGAGGGAATGGGGCTCCAAGGGCCTGCTCCCTCTCCTCCACCGACTTCCCAGCAAATGGTCCGATGCTAAGCGGCTCGTCTTGTTCTCTCACAGACCCAGAGTCGGGGCCTCGACACCACTGCTGTCCTGGGAAATCAGGGCCACGCCAACAACCCAAGATCATGAGTCCCAAAGCCTAGGAGCCAGTGCACACACTGAAAACACAAGACCCCCTTCTAAGGCTACCCACTCACATAGTCACTCACAGCTATGGGTTTGTGTCCCCTCAAATACATAGCTTGAAACCCCAAACCCCAAGGCATGAGCACCAGGCCCCTAAGCCTAAGCAGAGAAGGGTACA